GCTAAGGAAGAAGAGTTGTATGGTCCGAAATGGAAGAAATGGATGACGAAGAACAGTTGCAGAAACTAGGATTTGGGCTTTGGCCATGGTGCCATTTTCTCTCTCTAGATGTCAGTTGCAACTCACTTCCACTCCACCACCATGCTTGGCTGCCTGCATAACTACAACACCAGCTTCGAGTGAGGCAAGTATTTTCTCTCTCTCTCTCTCTCTCTCAAATGGAGCTGATAGGACTTGTATGTGGAGAGAGCGTATGTTATTGTGAGAGGAGTGCAAATATGCCTCCCGCCCGCCCCTGCTTTAGCGCTGTGTCCCTCCGCGAAACTCATTTTAATATGTGCACACCATCCAAACAGTCCAACAAACTAATTAAAAAAGATGATAATATTTATCAATAAGGTTGAAAAAAATTGTAATTTACAATTTTTTTCAATGGGAAGGTTTTTTTATTTGACATCCAAACTGGCCCTTAGGTTTTGTATAATTCTAATGGTAAGAAGCCTTTAAGGCCTATAAGTTGCAAATTGTGGACTTGTGGTGATGTACTTACTTTGTCTCTGCATATGATTGTGGTTCATGACTAATTTTTAATATTGTATGAGATATTTATTTCTTGTCTTCTTTACAAATTTGAGTTATTGTATTATTAATGAATATTTCTTTATTGCTTGAGGAGTTATATTTGTTTCTAATAATTTTTTCTTTGTTTTTAAGATTTTCCTTTTTTCCATATTTTCTCTATTTCCCCCAATTTTTCTTATTTTACTAATTTTATCAACTATTTAATTTATTAGACCGGACCAACCAGTAAACCGTTCCTGTTCAGCCGGCCCAACCGAACCTGTGCTTTCACTGGTTCGGTCATTGGTCTGGTCCTGAGAACATTGATAATGACAATTTTATAGTAGATGTAAGAACCAGCATTTTCAACACTTAACTGTTCTTTCCCTTTCCTTCATCTGTATTATTCCTTTTTTCTTCTTGGAGTGCATTATAGATTATGTTATGATAAATGTTAAGAACCAATATTTTCAGGTTGTGCTGACAAAGGCCACATTTCTAATGTATTCTAGGGATTCTCTGTGGCTCTTGTTGTTTGTACAGATCTATCATTTAGGACTTCTTTCACCCAGTGCTTTGTTTGCCCAAGCTGCCAAAATGGTTGAACCATGGATTTCCACATAAACAACTGGTTGCATTGAACTCTTTTTATAGCTAGGTTATTGGGGTTTTGAGCCCCTTGCCTTTAAATAAATGACTAAATGATACGTAGTCATTAAAATGCTGAAGATCACAATAAACAAAGGCAGTCTCCCCTTACATGAAACTAGAAGATGGTCACCAGAAACCATCCATGGGGAGACATTGACAGTGGCTCCCATATAGTAGTCTCCTCATTTGCCTCACTAGCTAGTAGTAAATCTGCTGCCTGAATCCTGATTCATTGCCTGAAAATGTGAGAGAACAACTGGTTGAAGCCCATTACACTCTTCCATTATTGGACCATTGTTCTAAACTCCAAGCCAGATGCTTGTGTCTTATGAAGCCAAATGGTAACAGTGAGGAGCTAGATTCAATCCATTAATGAGAAAAGTATCTTCTTTTAGCTAATAGGTGCGTAACTGGTGTTGCTTGCAATTCCCATAATTGTATGAACCCTCCATGGATTCCCAGAGGCTGTAAACATGTAACCTTTTTTGTCTTTTTTCCTGAAAGAAGAATGTCTGAATGATCTCCAGCACTTTGTCTCCGTTGAGAAATGTTTTGTCCATGATCAAGTTGGATTCGTATCACCTCTGTTTATTATTCAACTTACATACTAAAGGCCAATGTTTTAAAGACTGACATTCCTAAAATGACATTCCTAAGCTTTTCCAGAGAGAAAGAAGTTAAATACCATTATGCAGATATCTTATGGTTTTTTTTTTTTTGGGGGGGGGGGGGGGGATGGATAGGGTTTTGGCTTTATGGGTGAGTGTTATTAATTTTAATCTTTTTTATCCATGTCCTAAGTTGAATATGGCTTCCAAATGGTCATGCATATTCATGATAAAAAAATATATTTAATCAATTGTCTAACCAGTTGGTTTATTTCATAGAGTTGCCTGGTAGTTTCTTCCTGTAATCTGTAAATTTTGACCATCAATAAAATATTTGATCAGTCCATCATGACATACACTTACATGGATACATTCAAAAAATGTTTTGAATTGAATGAGAAATTCTGCATAGACTCGAGCTCTGTGTATGTGTACTAGCGCACGCGTGTGTCTTACTAGATAGAAAAATGATCCATAGTAGGAAAAAATGATTGCAGTGTTTGAATTTCTTTAACCATTTGTTAAGACTGTAAAAGAATGTTCTACAGTTTAACATGGTACACTTTTTCATTCTAGATGTTATAGAGCTAGATAACGTTAAGGATATTATTAAGGTCTGTTCTTACTAAAAAGCGGTTGCAGAAAATTTATTTCAAAATCTTGTGAAACTTGTGCAAGTGCAAGGAGTTCTAAAAGTTGTTATCTTTGATATCAAATTTTCCGTTTGATACGTAATATAGCAGTAGTCGATATGACGTATGGATACTTATTTGCGTTTATTTCCTCCAAAAGAGGAAAACACTTATATGTTTATCTAGTTGGTTTGCAAGTGTTAGCTAAGTGGCCTGAGGGGTTCTAAACTGCAATAGTGAGAAGAGTGGAAATGATACTGAAGTTTCTAATTTGGTGTTTGGTCTAAACTGAAGCATAAAGGAAATATGAGGGCCTGGCTCCTCTCTATGGAGGGAGGGAGGGAAGGAATAAAATCGTAGAAGAAGTTAATGTCCCCATAATTGTTCTATTTATATGGTTCTGTTATTGTCTTCAATGAATTTTTTTTTATAGTATTTATTGCTCTTTTGGTTAGGCTAAAGCTCTTCCTAACTCTATTAGCATGTGTTTTGATTTTGGAATACGTTATTCTTTGGTGTGTACAAGTGCACGTGTGTGATCTTTTCTGTGATCTTTTTTGGAAAGGGGAAGCACACAAATGCACATGCACACGGACACAAATGAAATGCATCTTTGAGTGTATCTATTTATGTGCAGGCAAAGGCTCAAGATAACTAAATAGGGAGGCCAATATGGTGAATGCCATTAAGGGCCTCTTCATCTCATGGTAAGGAAAATCGATCAAGCATTTCCATGTGATCTCTTTATATCCGTACTTTTTTAACATTGAGCATATGTAGTTCTTTTCTTATATGTTATTTCAATATAGGTAATTAGATGGATGGATAGGTAGCTCTATATAAATGGGTGGGTTTTGTTAACCTTCTCTATTTAGAGTGGAAGTTTTGTGAACTTTTACCAGAAGTTTTTAAACCCAAAATGTCCTTTGCTCTTTGTATTAGTCATTTGCATTTATGGCTAGTGCGATTGTGCCATTTACCAAGGGCTAGAAGAAAATGTACTATAACAGCTGAAATTCAGCCATGTGAAGGCATGCCATTCTTTCTTGCAGTTGCATGTGAGCACTTGTGTTTTCAGTCATTGCTCTTCAAATTGTGTTGCCAATTTTCTATGAAGTCTTAGATACGTCACCCTTCATTGAGATGCTTCTATTCTTATAGAAAAACAAAGATTTCTATTTCATTGTAGTGGTCGGGTATCACAGAGCTTTTATGTATATATATGTAATTTGTCTCTGGTGTTGTTTTGTAGTGATGTTCCAATGGCTCAATTTATTGCGAGTCTAAATGCATCATTACCCCCTTCTCAGAAATTTATCATTCACATGTTGGACAACACACACATGTTTGTGCAAGCTCATGCTGGTGAAATGATTCGGAATAAAATCTCAGAGTTTAGAGATCTGAATTCATATGAGAAGCCTGCATGATTCGGGGTTGTTTTTTATACGTCTGTTTTCGTTATTTGCATTGTAATATTAACTCGAATGCTTGCCTATTGCAGTTTGGTAAAGTTGTGTTGTGTGTGAATTAGTGAAGAATGAATTACGGGGCCTTGTGATTATTTTCCTTTCCCTCATGAACTTTTACATATATATTTTTTTCATTTCATCTAATTTTTTTTTTTTTCGTTTCATCTTTGTTTTTTTTCATTTCATCTCTCTCTGTCTCTGTCTCTCTCTCTCACACACGCTCCATCTGGATTTGTTTCAGTGCAGCATACAGCTCTTAATGTGTTTGTAATATGAACTCTCATCTCTTCATTAATAATTCTATTTTAGATAAAAATTTATGTGTCAAATGTGCACCTTAAATAATCCTTTAGAAGAGCGTTTAGATGTTGGAAAACCTTCTAATTTGATCATCTAGATTTCAAGATGTACGAGTACGAGGAGAAAATAAGATTTTCAAATCTTAAAAATAATATATATTGTAATATTTTATTTGGACTGTCTATTTTTAGGATTTTCAAGTGTTTATAGATTTGTTTGGCATTTTTAGAATTCAAATTTTATAAATTTGTGATTAAAATAGATATTCAAGGCATTATAAGGTGTCTTAACACAGGAAGTACATCAGACAAAATTTGGAGGTATGTCACTTCTACAGTCCGAGGAAGACGCCTTATAGAAATCTCCTTTTTTTTGTTTTTTGTTTTGCATTGCATTGCAAGGCGTGAATCTGTGTTTAAACCCTTATGCCTATTGTACATTGTGGTACCACATTACAGTAAAATCAATCACACCTATAAGTGGTTGGCGTACCATATATCAGTAAGCACTAACATCTAATAATTGTAAAATCAAATTGATGTCGAGGCTTAGTGGCAGACATCATCGGTTTGAGGCCAAGGGTTTGAATCCTTTAAGTTTTTTTCAAAGGTTTGGTAATGGCATGCACATGGATGCTTAATAGTTAATACACAAGCATCCTTTAATGGTTTAGATGGGAAACAACTGAATTTTATTTTTTATTTTTAATTTATTATTTAAAGATATTAATTTGAAATTTGGATTTTTTTTCTTCAGTTTTATAAGTAGAATTGAATTAAAATAATAAAAAATATTTTGAATAAATATTGATCAAAATAAATTTAGCGCTAGTTTGGTTATTTTTAATTTAAAATAGTTTTAATTATTTTTATTTGGTTTGCCTTTATAAAAATACTTCAGAATTCAAATAAATATTTTATTTAATTTTAAGATAAAATATGAAATTGATTTTGGCCCTAACACGTATAAATCATTGTCCAAAGTCATAAGCTCCTCTATACTCTTTCTCCATCCAATTCCCACACTCTCTCTCTCTCTCACACACAAACACACAAGGAATAGCGTTCATGAACGTTTGCTCTCTCTCGTGAGCTTACATTGTACATGTGGAATAAATCTCCTCTCTCATCTCAACTGATCGAATAGAAATAAATGCAGAGGTTCTAAGGGAAACGAGAAAAGCATCAAGAAGAAGAGCAAGGAGAATGGTTGAGAACCTCTTCTTTAGAAAGGAGAATAGCTCTGGTAAAAATTCAGTTAATGATTTCACTGAGGAAGAGTCGATATGATCGGTTTGTTATAGAATGGTTCGGTTCATGGACAAAGGTGACACCAATTTTCGTCACACTTATGACTGGTACAAATATGCAGAATATGGGCCCTTTTCATGGCAAGACAGTGTGATCGGAGAACCAATTTGAGTTTGATTCTCTTATGAGAGAGTATGTTTGGTTATGTAAAACCATGAAGAGTTGGAGAAGATTGAACAGTTTGACATGACTACAGATTACTCGGTGGCGCCTCAGCATCATGAATAAAGTTGGCATGCAAATATTAGGCATCAAAGATGAAAACTGTGTGAGCTTCCATGGAAGCAATGGGCTCTGGTTTGTGAGGTGGTGGTTGAATCAGGGAAGAAGAGGCCTGATAAATGGAAAGCACATGGGTAGGTTTGGGAACAAAATTAGAGCCTTGATCACAAAATGTGCATCTTGGATGAAGCTTGGAATAATCTATGTTAAAAGGGCGTGCATATTGGTGCAGATTTGAGCCTCGGGAAGCTTTCTAAGTGTCTTTGGGCTCTTCTAGACCCTGAGTCTGAGGAATACTTATTTTGAGGTCAAAATTGGAGAGGGAAAGACAGAGATTTAGTGAGAGCAAATCTAGAAGGCTTTTGTTGATGATGTTGTGAAAGGTTATGAGAAGCTTAGCGATGAAAGGAAATGAGATAGTTGGGATTTCTTGCTCTGGAACCATCAAAGTTCTTCTTCATCTTCATACACATGAACGGAAGGCCAAGCTCGAAGCCACGAAGACTGGTTACCACGATGAAGATCAGATTTCTAGTGATGAAGATGAAGAGGGAAACTGGGAACTGATGGGCGACTATGAAGTAGAGGATGAAGAGGGAGAAACAAAGAATTGGGGTGAGTGTGATGAAGAGGAAGAGGAACAGGTAGAGACCAAAGAATCAAGGTAATTATGAAGATGTGGAGGATGAAGACAAAATGGTTGAAGCCGAAGGACAAGTGGAATTGGGAATCAGAAAGGAAGACGCTAGGCCTGAGGAGAGAAAGAGCTGCTGGAAAGAAGACTTTGAGAAGGCGGTGAGGAGCCCAAAAGCCATGGAGGACTGGTTAAGAGGAGTGTGGAGGCTTCTGCTAAGCTTTAGAAGAAGCAAATGAGACCTAGGAGTCAGATGAAAGGAAACAAAAGAGCTTGATCAAGAAAAGGAGAGAATAAAACCCAAGCCCGCTAGAGAGGAGTGGGAGCATATAGGCTATGATACAAGGAGGATAAGGAAGATAAAGGTAACACCAGACCTGTTTAAGAGAATCTAGGTGAATGATTAATTAGAGTTTTCAATTGAGAAAACAGATTTGGAGCGTTGAGATTGATTTTGTGGGGCTCTTTCTGGGTTGCTTTAGGAGCAAGTGAACTATCAAAGCTTACATCTTTGATCCAGCATTGATTTGAGTTGGAAGAGTTGAAGAAGAGCAAGAATATGTTGGATTTTTTTTTTTTTGTCTTGTTTTAATTTGATCATTCACATAAACCATTATGACTTTCATATCATGCACTCCGTGGTTTGAAATTTCAGTTATAAAAGATTGAAGGGGCTTGCTAAGAAACTCTTGTGGAGAATATTTATTGTATTTTGCATTACACAGATCATTAGACATGCATTATAATGATGGGCAGGTTAGTACCTATAACCATAAATATGGGTCATTAGTTTATCAGTAATTAAAAATTCACCAGTCTAACTAGGGAATCGCCCGAGTTGGATTTGATTAGGAACTTGGCAATTTGAAAAGCCTGAAAATCGGGTGTCTCACAATCTTAGGATCCCATGTTTTCTGTGATGGATCTGGACATGCGACCTTGGCGAGTTGGAGCCTGAGTACAACTTTCCAAACACTAGTATATGTAAGTTGAGGAAATTCGGATAAGGAGACTGTACTTCACATCCAAGTGACCATGGGAGCATCCGGGCAATCTCATTGTTAGAATCCGAGCAATCTCATTGTTAGAAATCTGGGGTTCTAATTACCAGTTATACACAATCTTTTGTTTTGAAACTTGCAGTTTATAATTCCAGAATTTCAAGCCAGAATTTGGGACTCATAAAAAAATAAAAACTGCAAAAAGGAAGAATGTCATTTCAGAGATCAGCATTCCAGTCTAACAACTTGTCTTAATTTGGGTGCAATGCAAACAACAATTTCCGTCTTTGGATGAGATCCAATTCCTCGAACATTACCTTTATCATGTAAATGTATATGTTTTAATGGGTTTCAACTTGTGTATGTATACACATGCCTACAGGTCTATACGTTTATATCTGCGAGCATATGAGTGTATTCTTTTATGACCAAATTGATTGAGCTTTCTTCCGAAACATCTCGACACCTAGTAGGGCTGCTTATCAGCAAGTTGACTCAACCGGGTCCAGGTCCACTTGATCTAAACCAGGCAGGAACCAGCTAGGACCTCCCAAGTCAGATCAGGGTTGACCTGGATATGGTATGTATAACATCTTGTAGCAATACAATGGATATAATGTAATTGGATGCAACCCAATCTGGTCTCTCTCTCTCTCTCTCTCTCTCTCTCTCTCATGGTTATGGTGTGCCGATGCTCGCTGAACCATATAGGCCAAACCTAGACATCAGCAAAAGAGAACGGCAGGGTGTACCGGGGGATGGCTCTCTCTCTATCATAGAGGTGAAAGAACAATATCAGCACAAGGGCCACAAAGGCCAGTGTGAAGCCAACAATGATCACATCCTTGCCTCTTCATCTTGAGGAAGTCAACTGTAGATATCAATCAATACAAGATTGTTCTTGCAGTGTTGACACCAAACTCAATGAGCTCCATCTCCATCCTACATCGCTTAATGGTGTCGAGAACCTACAATATGGAAAGTAGATTAAACACAAACTGAGGGGTGAAGAAACCTTTTATGAGTTTTATTTGATCTGAGATGCTACATTCGCAGCCAAGGTATTTCGAACACTCTTGTTATTGGCTAAAAAAGAAACAACAGAAGGCAAAATAAAAAATAGATAGTGTGTGTTTATTTGGGAGGTCGATGGAAAGACTCTATAGGTATCAGAAGAGTTCTAGTCACAGTTCATGACAGTAGGAAGAGATTGTGGTAAGAATATTCTCATGGAGAAGGCTAGGATTGAAAGTTTGGAATCCCAGTACAAGAAAGAATAAATCAAAGAGATAGAAGCTGGAAAAACTATCAAGCGGAGGACAAACCTTTTGCGTTTTTGACGAGACAGTAGCAAGCGAGGAGCTCCAAAGTTTCAAAAGCGCAAGTCCACTCCCCTTTCGTTGCTCTGTCCCTCCACTCTCAACCGCAGATGCCATTGCTTCGTCAAAATGGCTTGTTGCGGAAGAAAACCAGTGTAGCCCATCAAACAACTCGCCTTGCCCCATAAGCTGTAATCATTTTCAAATTAAATCTCCGAAACATGGTGAGATAAGATCCATCAGTTTTACAAGAAATGCATCGCAAAACAGTAAGCATAGAATCCAAGTCCATCATGGAAAGAACCTTGAGAATGTAAGCAATCCCAAGCATGAAGCCATCATCTGATGGTGTTTGGTTTGCGGCATCACGCCCCCGCTGCAATACTTTGTCTTTATAATGGACTTTACTGTCTACTACATTGATTGTTAAAGCTGGAATTACAAGGAAAAATTGCTTCAAATGGGCCTTTTCACTGCCTTGGAGGCCCTGCAAAATAATAAATTGGTACAAAACGGAAGTTATTTTTGTGTCTTCGATAATTCAACAAACCATTAGGGAATAGTACTTAAGAGGAGATAATTAGAAGAACAGATTGATCTAAAGAACAATATTTTTTCTATAATGTTGAACATTTATAAGCATAATGGTTCAAGGCATTTGTCCACTACAAGCATGAATACTTTCTGAAAACTTGCTCGATGCCATAAGCAGCAGTTCAAAACTCACATACAATGGCCTTGTAGATTTCTCAAAAGACCATTTCAAGTTACAACACAGTGGTTGTTACAAAAATTAAATGCAAGGGTATTTGAAACTTCGAATCACTAGATGCATCCCAAACAAGAAGGGAAGCTCCAAATGTTCTGAACCTCTGCAAAATGGTATCCATTCATTGAAGGTTGGTAAGTATAGTAAACTCTTTGGAACAAGTGCTCCATTGAACTAATTTGAAAGAGTTGAGGTGAAAGGTAATCCCAATTCACCAACCTTAAAAAGTGCATTGTCAAGGATTGAGAGATAATTCGCATGATCCGACAAACTGTACTTATGATCCAGCATTGTGCACATATCTCTACTTGTTCTGCACATTTTGTCAATAAAACCCAAGTGCTGAGAATTTCCCGTGAGGCTCACTAAATATTTGGGGCTTTTGTATAAACCTGAGATTTGTGAAGATTAAAAGCTCCAATAAAAAAAAGTGAACACAAAATAACAAGTAATCCATGCATCTTCATGAAATGTATTGAGTACATACTGAGAAATAGTACAGGCATGACGAAGACTTCCTGTTTGGAGAATTTTGGCGAACCCAACCACATTACCAATCTCAGTGAGAAGAGAACAAACTTGTTCCAAAATGCTCAATTCTTCAACCTCCACATCCTTTTTTCCAGTGGCTTCGTTCAGCTCTTCGGCCCGAGAAAAGGGGTATTTGTCGAGATATCCTTTGTCATTCTGCAGGTAAAAATTGAGTTCTCATACAATATGCCTACGATGAAGAAAACACCTTCACAAACATTTAAAAAAAACTGAGCCCCAATTAAAGGTCACGGCCTTCATTCTCACTAATACTTTAAAAGAACTGATTCTATCCAAAATGGTTACGGGCCCGTATTCCCCACTGATCTACCCCAAAAAAAACGAAAAAAAAAAAAACAGAAAACGCTTTCAAAACAAAAGGATTGAATTTTATTTCACATGTTTTGTCATCCTGTGTCTGTGTGCAAGTGCATGAGTGTCAAGGTATGTAAGTTGAAAAGGTACTCATGAGATGAAGCATCCTTCTTATTCTGCATATAAAAATAGAGTCCTTATATAATATGGTCGCAATGAAGAAAGCACCTCCAAACCAACTGGATATAATCTATTTTCACAGCTTTTGTCATTCTGCAAGTAAAAACTAATCTGCAAATGAATTGATGTGTGTGTGTGTGTTGTAAAGTATCTATGAGATGCAGCACAAACCCTAGGTTCCAAACTTATCAAGAGGAAATCTAGGGCCATAAAAATCTCTAGGGCGGATTCCATGTTGTACCGAGAAGGGTTTTTTTCCATGTTAGTGCAACGCATCAGAACAAACTGCACACATCTATTCAGGTAAATTTAACAAATGTAAGGACACTAAACATAATCGTTCAATAAGATAAAGGCTGAAAGCCAGAAATCAAAATTTTCCTTGAATTTTACACAGATGAACTATAAGAAAAGAAATGTCAAATACAGGAGATTGTAGTTACCTTCCAGAATTTGTATTCTTTCAATAACTGCGATCTAAAATGGTCATCTTGAAAAACCTCAGACAGTGAAGCAATCTTCTCTTCTAGAAAGTAGTTTATTGAATGCATTACAGTATCTATGATTCCCAAACCATGGGTGGCTACAGAAGAGGCAACATGATCCACACTGATAATCCTTATAGTCTTCCGACCCTGATCACTTGAAACCCTCTCAATGAAAACCTGCGTGTGAGTTTCTGATAAGAACACAAAACATTGAGATCTTAAAATTGCTATGTAAAATGCATTTAATAACAGAAGATAATGATTGATAAACAAAATCTAATCTTCCCAAAATATATACATGTCATGCAACAAGTATATGACTATAGCTCAGGGAAAAAAAAGTGTTAATTGTACCATTTGTTGCAATTTTTTCACATGTTTGAAGGAAACTCAAAAGCCTAATTTATCCTTTAAGAAAAAGAATATATATGGCAATTACTTGTGCATTTATGTTGTACATGTAAGACTCAGCAAACTGATGTAAATTGCGCATAATATCAAGAACATCAAGTCCTAGATCCAACGAACGCTCCGGAAGGTGAATTCCATCCAAAACAACCCCATATTTGAGCTCTGCCAAGTGCTTCATTTCTGTGTATGTCTGAAAATCAAGCATGTCAGTGACAGAAACATATATCTGATATGAACAAGGTCCAAGGTAAAACTGATCATAAAATAACCAGTGGAATGAAGGATGGCACTTGCAGAACAGGAGTGTGAGATGATAACATTTACCTTCCAGTTGTAAGGGGACATGGCTGTGTGGTTATAGAACGTAGAATCAAGATATGCCTCGACGTGTGATTTTATATGGATAAGCTTGAATGGTAATCTCAGAGGTTCCAACCGTAGATACCAAGAAAGATTACGAACTCCAGTCTGACATTAGAGTGCACATTAGCCTCTATCACACATCCAGCTTATTTTCCTTTTCAAAAAAGAAAGTTCCATATTGAAGGTTCAAGATCAGAAAGATAAAGCACCTTTGTTGGGTTCACATGCACAGATCCCTTAATATGGGTGGAGTGTACATGAAGGCGGAGATCAGTTTCAATATCTCTACAAAGAGGAACCATAATTTCCTGTTCAAGGAGAGGGAGTTACTATTTGATCCTGGATTCCAAATAAGACCAAAGAAAAGCAATCCAACACAGAAGAAGGCTTGTGAGCATTCAGGAAAGAAATGGTTGTTTAAGAAACAAGTTATACTAAACGATTCAAACAGTTCAAATGGGAAAAGAAAAGAGCATACGTTATTTAGAGCATCCTTTATCTCCCCTTCGAATGAGCGTAGAGTCAACCGACCAACATTTCCAAATTTAAGAAGCCGTAGCCCATCACAGAATGCCTCAAGAAGAAACCTGGAAGTTTCCAGAAGCCAAAGATTCAACATATTAAGAGCTTCCTTTATTTGAAGCAATTGATAACATAGCTAAAATGTCACAAACCAATCCTTATCCAAGACAAGGTCTAGATTTCAGTCAATCTTACCGCAACCATGAAATTTTGTTGACATCTGTGTAAACCATAGGGAGCCAAGTTCCCATCATTTCTTTTCTCCAGTACAAGAAGCTGCAATTTGTTACCTCGCCAACAACTCTTTGAAAATCAGAAACCATATGCAGCTTAGAAATCAGCTTTCTAACTCTTGGATAGTTCATGTCCACGTGACCCTATTACACAAGGAACCCCTTAGTAAGTACCAGCTCCATTCACAATGAATAGGTCAAGCAGTTCAAATCTGCAATTTCAGGATGCATACTTCTGCTTAAGCAATAACTGCATTGTAAACAGGTTATAATAGGTCATAGTATTGATACCAATAAGTAATAGGAAGAATAAGTGACATCCATTTTCCATTTATCCTCAATTATTCACAGTAAACCTAAAGAACATCACAAGATATCCAGTAGAATGTGGATAATAGATACATAGAGTGAGCCTTGTGCATATGAATCACAGCTTCTATGCACCACAAAATAATATGTTAATGAAATGTTTACTGAATATTCATTTACAACATGGGCAAAGGAGATACCAGTTAAGGACAAAAAAAAGTTTCAAGTTCCATTGAAATTTAAGCTGTTCAAAGACCCAAATTGTTTGCAGACGTGGACGAATGGCAGGGACAAATATAAAAACATAATAGCAATAAGGCCAATTTTTAAAGTTAGAAACTCACTATGCTTTGGAGAATATCTAGTGCAACATTAACAATACATAGCCTCTTAATATTCCCCCCTCCTTGTAGCATTTTCAGTGCTATCAAAACCTGTAAACAGAAAAGGAAACCTCCTGGGTTAAACTTGGATTATGTCTTCTCAATTTCCACATGATCCAATCATATAAGTTAACTATAAATAGTAGTATGGTCTCTAGATGTTTTATGGCGTAATGAATACATAAATGAAAGGCAGCTAAAATGCACTTACCAAAGAAAGGGAATCAGTGATCCTTATATCTATATCCTTACCCCCTGCAAATAAATGACAAATGCCCATTTTTTAGAACCAATGCCAGAAAAAATTAACATGCTAATAAAAGCAGTAAAATGAATATAGGATCATTGAATAGGAAGGGTAGTATAGACTATAGACAATGTTTTAAAAAACGGTCCGCCCAACGCCTAGGCAGCCTGGACCAAAATACCGCACGCCCAGACCCAGGCAGCCCTACACGAGCGGATGTACCTGGGCAGGCGTCCAAGGACGTGGATTTTTTTTTAAAAAAAATACCCAAAAGGGAAAATGGAGTAATTTTGAGGTTTAAATAGGTTATGGGGGTTATTTTCAACCCCCAAAGTTAAAAGAAAATTTCCATAAACCTTCAATCTCTTAGCTATACTTGTTTCTGAGAATCAAAAATATTTTTTGTGGTTTGAAGAACCTTCCTAAACCTTTTCACTTATTATGAAATATAGAGAGTTTGAGAGTATTACTAATACATATCCTATTAGACTTTTAAACTTCGTATGGTTTGAATTTTGAAATTTTGAACAAATTTATTCTCAACATGCGATATATCATATTTTTGTACATATAAATATGTTACCATATTTTCAAATGTAATAAATTCTAAAATTGGCACAAATATATGTATATATACTACATATCTATATCACTTGTACAACAAGGCGTCTAAGGTTCTGAGCATCCGCCTGGGCACTAGGTGCCAGGCCGGCCGCCTAGCGTTTTTTGAAACCTTGACTATAGATGGAACAAACTAGACAACTTGATACGATAGTGAAATAATTTGAGGAGATCAAATGTTCCAGACAATTAGAAAAGTTGACGAACTAAGATCAGCATCGTTAGGCATGCCTATGATAAACAACGGATTAGATTAGAATACATTGGAAGGACCAGTTTATGAACATATGACTACACAAAGGAAAAATGAAATAAGATCAAACAGCCAAGTCTTTCCGCACAGGTAGTCGAGCCTTTAAAATCAATAAAAATCTATGGAAAGATCCCCTAATATTTGAAATTAAAAAATAGTCCCACATATTTTCTGGTCTCTGCTCAAGTCCCACTTTTGCAATCTTTTTTATTCCTAATTTACCTATGTTTCAGACATCCAATGTTAAGTTGTCCTCTCTCTCTCTCTCTCTCTCTCTCTCTCTCTCTCTCTCTCTCTCTCTCTCTCTCTCTCTCTCTCTCTCTCTCTCTCTTCTCTCTCTCTCTCTCTCGCAGCACGCACGCACGCATATACACACACATATATGATGGTCTGTAAAGAGCCTTCAGGGTTTCCTCTCCCAAGGTTATGGGTCACTCTAGGCTTTAGGCAGTACCTTCATTACTCCAGTGCTTGACCATGGTCAACTGGGTACCACGGTGGTCCAATTTGTGATGGGGCTGGTCTTATTCTTTGCTTGCATAATGAAACTGACAGTGATGGTGTGCTTCTGTGGCATGCATTGCAAGCATAAAATGGAGCCGGAAACACCGAGCACACACCCATGAAGCCCAAGAAGATCACATGGAAGTCGTTTTTAGTTTAGGGACGCACTATTAGTCGGACCTGCTTCTATCTGTTTTTGAAGCCAGTACAACACTGTGTTCCGGACCAGCTTCCGGTTCATCTTGAATGATTGTTCTGTGAATTTTAAAATTTTTTGTTTACCGTTTTTGAATGATTGTTATGTGAATTTTTTATTCATCAAATTAATGGGCACTTGCTTTCATTATGATTCTTTGTATTAGATGCCAGTCCGGCTTATGGAGTACCAAACCAGCCTCCAGTTATTATTCAACCAGTCTGGCACTCTATGTACTCATGGAGTATGGAACTAGCACATATAGTTTCTGCGTGGTGTGCCCAATCTGGTTCTCTTAGTGGTGAATCTCTGATGTGTGTGTGTGTGTGTGTGAGAGAGAGAGAGAGAGAGAGAGAGAGAGAGAGAGAGATTTTGGTGCATGAAGTTGCAAAGAGAATCGAAGAAGTTGCGTGGAATGGGAGGTGCGTGCAGGAGCCTTAAGTCTGTGGAGGACCTGGAGAGACAAAGTGGCACATGGAGAGGCTTGAGAGAGAGTGGAAGTGCACGGAGAGGCTTGAGAGAGAGTAAAGGTGTGTGGGAGCTTAACAGAGACAGTGGGAGCATGGGGGATTTGAGAAAGAAAGGGATAGATAAGGAGAAAGGGGGGAAATGCAGCTTACAGAAAGGGGTTATTTTCATCCTAAAAAAAGCTAATTTCTTACTTTGTGGTGTTGGGTGCAAAAATTAGTATTTGAGTTAGTGGTGAGGTTTAGATAGTGTTTGTCTTTTTTTGTTTGGGAGGACGGGGGGAGGGTCATGGGAAGGGCCATGCCTAGAAAGTAGGCCCTAGAGGGGTTATCTATAACTGGATGTCCGAACTGGGGATAATTTGGGAATAAATAAATTGCAAAAAGTGGGACTTGAACGTAAACAGAGGGACTATTTTTTAATTCCAAGGAGATCATTCGATAAATTTCCCCAAATACAAAACATTCCAAAACTGTAAACAATGATATTTAGCAAGCTTCATTATTTGTCTTTAGACTAGTTTTACTGGTATGTCTTATGTCAATGCATCACAGATTGATATTCAATAAATAGATCAAAAAGGCATATCACGCAAAAGCCTGTCCTCTAACTTATATCAATGCATCACAGATTGATATTGAATAAATAGATCAAAAAGGCATATCACACAGGAGCCTGTTCTCTACAATTGTTAAAAATTGCATAACCCTTCTCTCTGTACACCAAAGGTCGCTAAGTGTTCAGCACCATGCTGACCACCCTAATACCTAAATCCCCATTTGGCCATCATGGTAGCCATATCCGAGCCCTATTGTCGGTTTGAGTTATGGACAATCATGAAAATAGGCAGTCTTCAACATTCATAGACAAGTGGAACAGTATCCACATTTTTGGTGATATCAAAATAGAAGTTCATTTTGTTTTATCCCTATGGTGAAATAGAGCCTATTGGTTTTGCTTACAGGATAAGCAGGGTCCATCCCTAAACATGTGCTGGCACACCACCCAATCAGGTGCAAAAATAAAAGCAATTTTATTCCTACCGCTTAAGAAGGGGACGTCCAAATGGGGCCCAAGTGTCTATCCATATGGACACAGATATTGGGAGTGCGAATATTATTCAGTGCTTCACAAAATCCAGAAAGAGGGTATCAATGGGTATCCTACACAGCGAAAAGACATATAGTATACAATCTAAAAAATATATAATACATAGATATAGCCCATAAATTGTGTAAGTATATAATAACAAATGGTATATAGCACATGGGTGCACCATATAGTGCTAGGTGTACTGTAAATAGAATAATAAAGATATAGAACTACTAGATATGTCATTTTACATGTTCTCAAAATGTATATTATAACATGCACATTATATCATTGATATATCATATTATCTACTTCACATTAGACATATCGTATTATCATACATCATTTTGCATTTATTTATTTTACATTTTTTATTTATATTACTTTAGATTTACCCAATGAGCATCCAAATATGGTACCTACATTGACCAACTCGATATCAGTATGCAAAGCATATATATCTGGCATATGAGCTAATAAGGTAGTCCCTTTGCGCTTTCAAAAGGCTATCAATCATAACACAAGAATTAGGTACTTGACCATACTCCCTATCATAGAGCTCAAAAAGCTTGACTTGCTAGAGTGGCCTCCTTTGGCAATTTCTGAATGCAACTCGTCCTGCATATCAAAAAATATAAATCGTGTCGGTCTGTAAAAACTATAGAACATGAAAACAATGATAGGAACCTTGACAGGAAGAAGAAAATGCTCTATATCAGCTTGAACAAGATGTATGATATGAGGCAAACTTCGAACAATATCAGGTATCTTCTTGCAGAAAGTGTTCTCAACCACCTATAACAAAGGGAACAATAAGCCACACTTCATATGCACAGAAAAGAATTAAAAGATCAAAACATGTCAAGTTTCATCCCAAGCAAATTCCTTACTTTCAATAGAACAAGTATGTGGCAAAGAGACTTTGCTTTCTCTCTCTTGATAGGAACCTGCAACACAGCCAAACAAGAACATATGAATGAGATAAGAGAACAAAATTATAACATAATCTAATAGTGCCGAGATTAAAGCATCTTCTTTTGCAAAGGTAAGCTCTTTCAAAATACAAGACAAATCATGTGCCATGAATCCGTATGTATGAAACTATATGTAAATCAATGGATAAGGTTGGTTATCTTATTTGTTCCCCAACTCTAGACAATGGGTCTACATGAATCTGCATGTACAAAACTATATGTAAATCCATGGATAAGGTTGGTTATCGTATTTGTTCCACAACTCTAGGCAACAGGCTAGACCCATAGCTACTGCAACTGATTGAAAAGTTTTTTATTGCATGAAGCACACCCTCTGGGGTCAGTAATGATAACCAATACTTTGAATAATGTCGCATACTCATTACCGGAATTTTCATAAGCATATCAAGAAGTGAAATGACTGATACAAGGTCCCAAGTGATTACTAGGACAAATGTTTTAGATGAACCAGTAATTAAAAAACATAATCCACGGAACAGGAACTTTGGGTCACATGAGCAATAAAAATTCAGCACCGTGGCAATTCAAAGCAGAAAATCCTTTAAGCAATTACCTCAAAATATGCATGTAGGTCAAGCAAAGACATGGCTATGGTTTGCAATCTATGTGCCAAGAGTATTCCCTGCAATTGTTAAACAGAACTGAGTAAAAACCCGTCATGAACTTTATGACATATAAAACATATAAACTAGCTCTACATTGATAGAATCAAATAGTCATCATCATCATAGTCAAATAGCGAACTTGATGATAATTACAATGAAACGTAGAATAGAAAAATTGAAGACCAAAATGCAACAGATGCAAATCCATCAAAGAAGGAATAACAACAATTCTTGCAATTCGAAAGGAAGTAAGGAAACAAACCTGAATAGTTTGTCTAAAATAAGTGCGAAGGATTCCTTCAATGCTTGAAAACACAGTCTGATATCCAAAAATACATAAGTCAACATCAGAGCACACTCTGCATGGTAATTCTTTTTTTTTTATGCCCAGCAAACAAGAATATTACCATGGGATATGCATGAAAGGATGCTACCCAACCTGCTAATGCATCTCTCATTGTTTGCCAATCCCTACGCAAAACAAGTAGTGAACTATATGTTAATAAGCCATAAGTAAAGCAACAGCATGTTGGAAGATCATTGAAAACATCCAAATTAGTTGCCATGTAGACCACAAAATAGGTCAACTCAAGTTCACTATTCTAACACAAAAAGTGGATGAAAGGGCCATCTACATCACTTATTTAGTAAGAATGAGGCAAAGCATCAAATCCCTAGAGAAGAGCAATGTATTGTGACTAAAATTCACGGCGAAACAATCCATCATAAGTATGAAATCATAAATTCAAGGATACAATTGAAATCATAAATTCAAGAATACAACTGAAATTATAAATTCAAGGATACAACTTAAGTATACGACTTTCACAGAGAGAAACATTATCCATACCTTCCAAATATAAAATCCACATGTTCAACATAATTTCTGACATCGGTGTCCCTAGAAGTTTGTCTAAACAGAGGCCAAGAGATAACAGACTGAGGAAGTTGATTATTTAGTAAGTCCAAAAGCACAAATCTGATGCCCCCCTCCACATAAATTACAGGAGCCATACAAATCACCTCAATAATCACCTTTCCCATACGTTTTTCTACAGTTTCAACTGCAATAATGTGCAAAGACATATCAGTGACCAAAAAGTAGATCGCAATGAGTTTTAGAAAAAAAAAGCTAACAAACAAAACCAACAGATTTTCAAGGCACGCATAGATAAGAGTAAGTTGCAAGCAGTTGCACATATGCTTATAGGTAAATATGAGATCCAGGGTGTACCCAAAAGATATGATCTGAAGACAAATAGAGCAACATAACGTAACATGTTCTTTCTATCACAAGGATACTCCTTCCATGTATCTGCCATGAAAAACAAAATAAAATTGAAAGCATGTATATATGGCTAAGAACTACGAATTCCTCATTTAATAACTACAATACCCAACATAAACATTTAACATTTAAAATTAACTCACCTAAATGATGAGAAATATCAGACAGCCCCTCATAAGTACATGAAGACAAAGCATCAAGAAACTTTCTGTTGGACTTGATCTTCTGAAGTGTCCCATGCCACAATGAGTCCTCCTTAAATAACCGCTGGGAACATACACAAAAGTTTAACAACGATCAGTTACTGACATTTCCACATGCATAGTTAGAGATATCACATAAAGGTGTTCGAAGAGAAATACTATAGAACTCCATACTACAACGATTTAGAAAGGAGCATACTACAACGATTTAGAAAGGAGCCTTAGTACCTTGAGAAAACCATCATGGAAAGACTTTTCAAGTTGATTAACCACTTGGTCAAGGTAGTCCAGATCCTCCAATGATATATCAAAACTATTTGGGTCCAATTTCACCTTCGCAATCATCCTATTTGAACACATGATTAGGGCTCCATAGAGAATATTATGCTCGACTGCCTACAATACAGGGACTAGCTTAGGTTCAGACTAATTCCAGAAAAAAGGGAAAGCAAAAGATTAAGAACTTCTGAAAGTAAAACCAATATGCAAGAAGTTGACAAAATGTAAACCAGCAGCAAAAACGATACAGAGGTCCATTATTTTGACACTGCAGTCAAGAAAAAGCAAACCAGCGAGACATGGAATAGCCCACACAACCTTGACATGGCTCTACCATTATCAATTTTGTTGGTATAAGCATAAAAAAACCAGAATGTGTGTTGACACAAATACAGATGCAAACACATCTTAGCATATCTGAATGTTGAATGCAGCCTAAAAAAAAATCAGCAGTCAGAAAGATTATGAGCCCCACTTCTGAAAGGAAATAGATAAGCTACCTCATGAAGAGAGACATGTGGCTCCTAATATGGCTATTCTTCTGTAAAATTTCGTCGAGAACCAAGAATATTGTCAAGCCATCACCAAATGTTGAAAATGTAGTTTGTAATGTAGCATTTTTTAAAAATTGATATGGTCTGTGATTTTGCTCTTGCAAATAAATGGAATCTAGTTGTTGAAGCAAGTTCCCCATCACTTCAATCGCTCTACATGTGATATCGGATACTTCCATGAACAAGGATAAAGAGTGACCAAAAGCCTTTTGTGACTCTCCTTCCAAAAGCATCTCTTGTGAACTTGATCGATGACCAAACATAAGCAACTTCAAATAAATATTTGTTGAAGCCTACAACCAGAGTAAAAATTTGTCAGACCCCAGAAAGAAAAAACAAATACTTGCCACATTCGAACAAACAAATGAATCATATATATTCCCAATCACAAATCTCAATGTCAACACGGTATTCCCAGAAAACCATCAGAAAAACATGCTGGCGCAATCCTACGCGTGTCATTTCACATTAAAAGTTTCAAGGGATAAGAGCATAGGGAATTAGAATCTTCTGCACATAAAAATTAGAAAACTAGGACAGTATGACATGTCCGATACTTGAAAGAGTAAGAGATTTAGGGCAAAATATTTTGGAAAACATGTGACAAGGGTGGGCCCAAACAGATGCAAAACCTAAGCCAAGATTTGTTTTGAAGCACTTCAGAAAGAACAATGTAGCTATTACTTTTCTATGACAGTTTCTAACAAGGGATTGTACATTGTAAGACCATTTACATTGCTTACAATTGGCCTCTGTAAATGGTCTTATTGTATACTTTCCCTTCTAACAAACTGTAACTCTACTGGATCATCATGCAGAACATTCAGGCGGGGTGCGACAATCACAATTCATTGATTATATTGAACCACACAAAGGGTGTGGTGTGCATAACGTTGCAACCTTAAACAATCAAATTAAGGTGCACCTCAAAATTTTGTCATGAGATGCAATTTTGGTGTCGAAAATTCTTAGGATGGTGAAAGAATCTATTTTTATCTCTAAGTATAAAATTTTAAACTTAAAAAATAGTTCAAATCAAGCAGATCTATAAATGCATGAAGATTTTGAAAATGGACGATCCAGCTAATATGTTACAAGATTCATTACTTTTAGGCCTTGAAATCTCTTTTTTTCTCCATTTCTATACATCTCGATGTCGAGATGATCAATTAGATGTTTTCCCAACATCAAAACAACCTTTACGAAAGATTTTAGAGGTGCACCTTAATTCTACTTTTTAAGGTAACTTTTTCATTACACCAAAGCAAAATGCAAATATATAACAAAATTCTACAACCAAACTACACTAATAACGAGAGATAGAAAGAGAGAGAGAGTATACCTGTCTACAAAGCTTGGAAATTTCGAAACAATTGTAGGAAAGCACGGTGACAAGCTTGGCAACACCAACATTATCGGCCTCAACAAGTCTCGGAATCGAAGCATACTCCATTGGCTCCACACAGACATGGATGGGGTCCAACTCTGAGCATTGAACATCGAGTATCGAAGAGGTCCCATAACCATCATCATCAAGCCCATTCAATATGTCAAAGCTTTTATCTCTCCATGAATCCACAAATCTTCGAAGCTTCTCCTGTTGTTCCTCCAATTCAACTGTAAAGGGTACCCAAGGATTAAAATTCAATCATGGTGAGCAATAACTTTCATGGAATCAATTCAGGAAAAAAAATGACAAAATACAGAAAAAAGCTCTGTGGCAGATTTGCAAGAACAATAACCGAACTACTGAATTTTAGCAAATCAGCCAAATTTCTCGTGCACTTGAAGATATTTGGCCAAAACACAAACGACCATGTGAATTTCGACAAAATAAAAAAATTGCCAGCTGGGGTTTGGAATTGTCAGTCACGGCCATCAGAATTGCAGGGTACCATCATAAGTTTATAGAAATGAAAGAGAGTTTCCTCGGAGTTAATCATGATCATCGTCAGAGCCTTTCCCCAACTATACAGGGTCAGCTGCAGGTCCCCCGTTCTGTTTTATCAAGGATCATAACTCACAGGAGGCCATGAGTCCCTGTATCTTTTCTCGGAGTTGATAATAAATGCAAATTCAAAGTTTATAGTAGAGAAATGAGGGAAGAGATTGAGACATAGGGTAAGAGATCTGCAAAACATACCAGTGCCCATTGCTTAAACTATCTCCACAAATTTAATGAGGTTGCTGGTTTTCAAGATTAGGGTTTCGAATTGGAGAACTTGGTGACTGAGCTGAGCCTCTGCTTTAGTTTGTTATGCATAGAAGCCGTTCTTGGTGTATGTGTACGTGCCACTCCAAACGTTTCATTGGAGAACGGGGAGAGTTAAATGATTCATCTTCAATTAAAGTGCATCTCTTAATTTTTTTGAAAAAAATATTATTTTTATGTTGAAAAAATATCTAATCGATCATTTTAATATCAAGATAAAATGGTTACGGAGAAAAAAAGAGATTTTCAAGTTTTAAACAAATTACGTCTTGCAAGGCGTTATTTTGGTAATGTCTAGTTTTAAAATTTTCATGTATTTATAGATATGTTTGATTTGATCTTTTTTAGAGTTTAAAAATCTTATAATTAGCAACAAAAATAAATTTTCAACAATCCTAAGAATTCTCGATCACCAATATTGTACAAAGTCAGGAGGTGCATTGGATTGTTTGAGGTTGCAACCTTATATAAACCGTATTTTTTTCTAATTATTAAAAATCAAAACTATTTTTTTGAATCAGTAATTTGAGAAGTAGAGTAAGAATCAGTCCACTTCACATATCCACATTTACCAGTTTGCAAATTCATATAAAAATTCTGGATGGTTGGTTTACCAAGTAGATCTGGTTTTTGAATCACTAACTGCTTCGAGAAAGGATCCAATATGTATGTGAGATTAGGTCTCTTATAGGCCAAGAGTCCCATCAAATAAATGTGGGTGGATTATACAAGGTGTTACTTGGAAAGTTGGTCAGATGTGGTGTAGAAATCTTTTATGGGGCTCGAAAATATATTTCTACCTGATAAAACTTAACAAAGCCTAAAAAATAGTGAACATCAAAGCATTGGGAAAATACCTATGTAGAAATTGTTTTTAGGTTTCATTTCTATGTACACCTAAGGTTTCAAATCTTATCTTGGACACAGAAATTCTATCTACCGTATCTTTTATATAGAAACTAATTTTAGGTTTCAGTTTTATGTATACTTAGGTTCCAAAATTGGATATAGATATTCTATCTATTATATCTTCTACCTCCGGAGATATTCTATCTGTTATATTTTTTATTAGGAAAATGACCTTACAAGACACTTCTGTACCCATGTGTGTAGTAGGACTCTCAAATGATTACCATTAGATTTGACAATTTTTAAAAAGTCAACTTCCACACCCGTACGATAACTTTTCTAAAGATTTGTACAAAATTTAATAGCGAACCTTTAAAATCCTACACGCATGATATGATATGAAAGGGTCTCGTAGGATGATTACTCTTTTTAGTATCTAGACTAACTTTATTCATTTCCCTCCAAATCCCTCTTTTTCTCTCTCTTTTCCCTCTGCTCTCCACCTCTCTCTCTAGAACGGAGAATACACCCTTTGTTAAAGGAAGGAACATGACAGTCGCTCCTGCTAGAGTTTGATCACTAAGTTAGATGGTCCCATGGGTTCATAGGATCTCTTGAAAAAATCTAGAAACTAGCTTGTCTGGTAAATACAAGTCCCGATGCCACTCATCTCCCCCCTCTTTCTCTCTCTAATTTTTCCCTCTTCCCTCCAAAAACCCATCGCTTCAATTCGCATGCAAATCCCCCATGACTCCTATCCCTTATGCAACTCCAACCAAAACCCAAGCTCAAGACCTCTCTCGCCTCTCTCTCTGATAAGCTTATGCAACTCTGTAATGGCGTGCCCTCGATAGCCCATCTCCGCATTCCAGCCTATGAGTGGTGGTCTGAATCTCTTCATGGTCTGGCCCCTAATGGACCTGGACTCACTTTTAATTGCTCTATAAGCTCCACAACTATCTTCCCCCAAATCATTTTATCCACTTCTTTCAATTCCTCTCTCTGGTTTTTGCTTGCCTCTTCATTTGGGGTTGAGGCTAGAGCCACGCGCCAAATAACAATATTTTGAGAGATCCAATATGGTGTAGAGGCCAATAAACCTATGGAGATTTCAAGTGTTTTTGCAATTCAGTATTGAAAGAAAGACCTATGTAGTTTTTTGCCGAAAAAATATTTTTTATTAATAATAATAAGAATTTTTTATATTTTTTGAAACAATATCACTCACAGATGGTCTTATTACAAACAATAGAAATTCTAAAATAAATAACACATCAATAAAATAAATCCCAACTACTTGATGTCATTCATACAACCTAATATTGTGCTTGAGAATATAAAATAAAAGAACAAACAAATAAAAGAAAAGATGCCGGAGATTACCTCAATCGGGCTTTTTATACCCCACATCGAATCACCACATCCAATGGCGCGGGGTCTGTGGTCTAGCTTCAATCTCGAACCGAGATAGTTAATTTCGGCCAAACTAAGTAACCACCCCTTAAAATCTCTACTAAACCTTAACTCCCAAAATTAACTCAGGCCCTCTCTAATTTTTCAACCCTTAAAATTAACTTAGGTTTAGAGAGGAGAGTGGGTACTACATTTTGGAGAGAGAATTAGAGAGAAATATGGAAGAGAGAGTGTGGGAGTGTCCCTCTAGGAGAGAGATAGAGAGGTGAGAGAGAGGTTATAGGAGAGACAGAGGTTGTGTAGAGAATGAAAGGAGAGCACCCTTATTTATAGTGAACATTTAGGTTTAGGGTTTCTTAGGGTTTTCCCATAGTTTGCCTCTTTCATGAGATTGAATCTAGACATTTGATCAAGGTGACTTGTGGGGTGAGATATCTGAGTCATCCATTCCATAGATGGGTCATCAACATTATAAAAGGTGCTTAAATAAAATAAATATCATGCATTCCATAAAATTGCTTGATCCATGTTACATATTCCATAAGGATATGTCAAATATTATCAAGTACATAAATACAAACAAATATAAATAAGATAAGGTCAATATTTACTATCTATTCAAATTGGCCATATCCCTTTAAAGCAAACTTGCTATAAAACAAATAAAGTCATAGTCAATATTTCCCTGACCACATGCCACAAATCAAACGTACTTTAACTTAAAGTCTTGAACACAAAGCAATTAAAGAGAATCCAAAGGGCGGGGCGTGCCACCCCTTTATGGCACATGTGGCCCCTCACCCACATGCCACATGGTAGGCCCATGTGCACTTTGGGCCCTCATAGAATTTTATAAAAAGTTTTTTAAAAAAATTAAATAAAACGAATTAATATATATTTGAATTTTTACAACTTTGTAAAATCAATAACTGTATTTTTATAAGCCCAAAAATTATAATTAAAATATTGAGAGATTCATAAAAATTCAAATAATAAAACTAAAATCATTTCAATAATAAAATGAACATAATTAAATTAATATGATGGGAAAAGAATCCATATGGTTTTAGGAATTCAATCTGTAATAATGGGGTACTCCACCTTCAACTGTAGACTACATACCACACTAGCTTTATCGAACCAACCCAGTGTTTTTCATGACCCACAGTCCAAGCAGAGGCTTATTAGCGGGTCACCAAAGTCAGATCGATGAATCAAGGGGTTGCAATCTTAGCATGTGGATTATAGGTCCTCCCCTATAGACGAGCCAAGGTCCCCACGACCTGATGCGACTACAGCTCTATGACGCAAAGGGGTATCTATCGAACTTGCATACGCTTCACTCAAAGGTGAATATCTGGCTTTCCCTAACGATCTATCAATATGCATGCCGTGTGATGGAACATGGATGAGGTTTTGGCCCCCGTCTTAGTGGGCCTACCATCATACACAAGGGTCACATAGTCCCTCAGCTAAGCATAAGCTCCGACCTCATCAAGAGCTAATCTAAAACCCTCATCGGTTAATTCTTATGCTCAGGTACCTTAGGTTTTCTAACCGACTGGCCTAGAACGATAAGTACAGTTCGGTATAAGAAATATCATTCGCTTAGTATGGTCCTCGAGCGACCATACTCCCATTGAATTTATGTTTCACTTTGATAAAAGTATTTCAATACACACTCATAAGGCCTTTGAAGGCCACATAAACCCAACAAGTATGTGAGGGGATATCAGGGAGAGCCTGAGTTTGAAGGTTTAGATGATGAATTGATAAGAGATAAAAGGATATGTGTTGAGAGAGAGATTTGGAGAAGCATGGGGAGAGAGAGTGAGAGACACGGAGAGAGCACGAAGTATGAAGAGAGAAGGGTTTGGGAGAGTGACATATGAAGGGTCGGAAGATATTATAGATAGAGTCTTTATGCCCTAAGATGGTTTTCAAATCTTTGGTCTATAAAGAAATGAAACCTAAAATTAAGGTCCAAGAACATATTTTTTCTTATTTATAGGGTGCAGTTTGTACAGAGTTGAGGCTCTAAACAATCAAAATGAAGTACATCTTCAAATAGTATCAAGAAATATGGTTTTAATACTAAAAATCTTTGTGATAACCTTAAAATGTATATTTTTAATTATAAAATTTAAAGCTTCAAAAATAGTGTAGATCGAGCGGATCTATGAAAACTTGAAAAGCTTGAAAATTGATGGTCTAAAAATGCATTATATGATTCACTATTTCTAAAACTTGAAATCCATTTTTTCTAATACCCATGCATCTGGATGTTGAGATCATCAATTTGAGGATATTTGAGCATCAAAACAACATCTTCTAGTGAAATTTTTGAGGTGGGCTCTAATTTGATTGTTTAGAGCCTCGGCTCTATATAAACTTATGAAAAATAAGCCTGATATTTGTGTTACAATTTGTATTATTTCTTTCTTTCCTTTGACAATGATCACAAAATTTTATTAATCAAATTCCACATATTAGATGTCGAGATGATTGATCATAGGGTTTGTACCATTAGAGCAACCATTGGATGGATTCAGCATGCTTTATTTTTATAGTAGAAAATAGTTTATAAATGGTTACAGCTTTATTATATTAAAGTGAGGTAAGATAAAAAGAGAGTTCCCATATTGGGAAATCCTCCAATTAATTGGCTTGACCTCGAGATGGATATATATCGAAAGATACTACAAAACGTCTATAGGCGAAAATGAACAGTGATTTCGCCAACCCTCATCATACGGTCATAGTTGTCTGGTAGTATTTCATTTTATATTTTTTATTTACTAATCGGAATGATCTGAAATTTAGAATGTATGTACATCTTGGTGTGACGTACCTAATAAAAATATGAAAAAAATAATTCGCACATATAAATGGACCAAAATATAAAAATAAGACCAATACAATGTTGATAACATTGAACTGAAAAGCATACTGGAAAAAATAAAATCCAAAAAAAATGCTTAGGGACCGGTCCTCCATGTTATATTTGAGAAAATATGGACATTATGTATTTTTCCGTTAGTATTAGTGCCTATACATAATTTTCCTTTTTAAGCATATATTTTATTTTTCATTTTAAATGTACAAATGAAATTTTTTGGAAAAAGTTCAAATTTGAGTTCTTAAACACTTGGATGGACTTGACATTAAGTTGATGAAAGGTGTATAATGAGGAGGTGTACTTATTTTCACTAATTTTTTTACTTACAAATTAAATCATATTATATTTTGAGTGACAGAAATGAGAACTACATGTGCAAATTTTAAGGTTTAATAGGCCTCTATATTTTAAAAGGAAAAATTTTACATAGAGCCGAGGCTCTAAACAATCAAATTAAAGCGCATTATGATTTCGTCGGTCTACAAGATTTTGGCTAAGATGCTTGCTAATAGATTAAAGTTGGTTACTCTTGAGGTCGTCAGAGGGTTTCAGTCGGCGTTCATTAGGGATTGCTAGAAAATGGGCAGCAAGCAATCGAAAGCCAGGGTTTTAAAGGGCAGTAAAGTGGATATTGAGAAAGCTATTGATAGGGTAGAATGGGAATATTTGGAATCAGATTTTAAGACTTTTTGGAGGAAGTGGCGACATGGGATTCAAAATTGTATTTCTTGTGCTTATTTTTCCGTTCTTGTTAATAGCAAGGAAGTTGATAGCAAGATAGAAGAAAAATTGTTCCATTCTTGTTACAAGAATGTTAACAACTAGTCTCATTTTTCTATTCTTGTTAATGGCAAGGTAGTTGAAAATTATCAAGTCATTACAACTGATATCTAATGGGATTCTTGTAACAAAGATAAATTTTCTCTTTATATACAATCCCATTAGAAATTATCAAGTCAATTCTAGATTCTAAAACGATTTAAAATTCTAGGAATCAGCCCAGCTACCCTCTAATCGCAAATCAAATCGTACCAAGGCATCAACCGTACAATCAAAGGTACACAAACCCTCTTGGAAGATGTAATTTCAACATCTAGAATACCTATAATGCCTGGATATCCATTTCCAAATCTAATTATGAAATTTGAAGTTCTAAATATGGTGTAGATCAAATAGATCTACAAACATTTAAAAATCTTAAAAATAGATGAGATATTATATTACAAAATACACTATTTTTAAAACTCAAACCATTTTTTCATATCCATACATTTCCAAATCAAAATACATTTCTAGGTCAAGATGATCGACAGAAGGATTTTCTAACATCAAAATAACTTCTTTTTTTTTAATGTTCCCTTTGAGGTGTGCCTTAGGGAAAAGTTTATAGACAGCCGAGGCTCAAAACAATCATATTTGAGCCTACATCAAAAATTTCATTAGAAGAAGTTGTTTTGATGCTCAAATATCTTCAAATTGTTCATCTCGACATCAAGATACATGGACACGAGAAAAAAATGGATTTCAAGTTTTGAAAATAGTGAATTTTGTAATACAATACAAGACAAGAAAAAACTGGATTTCAAGTTTTGAAAATATAGTGAATTTTGTAACATATTTTTGGAAAGTCAATTTTCAAGATTTTCAAATTTTCATAAATATATTGATCTACACTATTTCTGAAGCCTTAAATTTTATAAATAAATATGAAAATATATTTTAAGATTATCACAAATATTTCCAACTTTGAAACCACATTTCTCGATACTCTTTGATGGTAGGCTCTAATTTGAATGTTTGGAGCCGATGCTCTACACAAACCGCACCCTACTTTTATTGTTTTGAGTGAGATTGACGTACTGTCTTACTTTGATAGTGTCAACACAATAAGCATTTTCCTTTCAGTGGAATATGTTGCTATTCTAGAGTTGGAAAGGAAAAAACAAACCTCTTAACATTGAGTTTTTGCCAACTTTATTTCTCGGGTTAACAATGGGCAAACCCAGCCCGGGAAAAGTAAAGCCTGGGCCGGGCTAGGGCCCGTGCTGGTCCAGCACGAACCTCTCTTTTACTTGTTTCTTCTATCATTTTTCTGCATTTGTTTATGGAGCCAAGCCTGAACTGGCCCTATGGGACGAGAGCCGAGTTAAGGACCGGCCCATCCCAACCCTTACTTACTTGGTAACTAGGTCACAATGGTGGCTCCTTAAATCTGAAACTAATCTTGTCTATCATGATCTGCAGAAACTATGATGAAGTCTATGACTTTGGGTAAGGCCTAAATCCCCACTGACATACCACTTTAAATGTATCCTGGTATCAACATTAAAACCATATCATACAAAAAACTATGTTGCGCAAAAAAAAATTCCCAGACTGAGTGACTCACACCAAGCCATCCAACATAATGAATGTAAATGCTTGACCTCATGCACAAATGAAAAAAGGTCTCTATGTAGGCAATCCCTTAATATACCAAAGGTTAAAGGTCTTAATAGAATAAGAATTCCAATTACATGTGGTCTTACTAATAGTTATGAATCCACAACATGCCGAAAATATTGAAATTAAGCTGGCCAAAATTCATATTGGCAAACAATAATGGAAAACAAATAAAATTAAGCAGAATGGAAATTGCATTTATAGTATATATATTAAGAGTGGTTGGTATGAGGCTTAAAGTCCCAAAGAATCAAAGTTAGGAGCACCTTCTGAAATACGTTTCAAAATAAAAAATCTTTACGATGCCTGAATTTATTTTCATCTGTAATTATAAAATTTAGATATTAAAAAATAGTGTGGATGGATGAGATCTAAGAACACCGAAAAATCTCGAAAATTGACACTCTAGATTATCCATTACAAGACACTATTTCTAAATCTTTAGAATTTACTTTCATCTGTAATTATAAAATTTAGATATTAAAAAATAGTGTGGATGGATGAGATCTAAGAACACCGAAAAATCTCGAAAATTGACACTCTAGATTATCCATTACAAGACACTATTTCTAAATCTTTAAATCCGTCCATGCATTATGAGGTGAGGATCATCGAATTGCAGGATTGTTAACATCAAAACAACCGCCTCTTCCAATGATTATTTGAGGTGCGTCTTAATTGACCGTGTATGGCCTCCCCTTCATATAAACTTTTTCCATATATTAATGGATTTGGAAAGCATTAAATAGATAGAAAAACAAGAAACTTAGTTAGCATGAAGAAAAACCCAAAGCCACTCAAAAAGTAGAGTCCAAGTAAACATCGAACTAATTTTTAACACACATCGCCGAATTAGATCCCAAACTTGTTCATCAAAGAACAAAGAGCAAACAGTCCCAAAATTTCAAATCTATTTCTCAAGCACTAATAAAATCCAGCATCAATTTCTATATTACCAAAGAAACATGAAAAAAAGTTGAATCTCGGACCCGTCTAAAAGATAAACTCATACCTAAGGAAACTCTCAAGCAGCAGCAGTGGCAGCTGCTGCATTCCTCTTCCTTGCCTCCTCAATAATAGAGAGCTTAATACCCTTGCCCTTTGGCAACGAGACCCAAGGCTTGCTTGCCTTACCAATAGTGAACACATTTCCAAGCCTAGTCGCAAATTCATGCTTCGCCGCATCCTCAATGTGGATGATATCAAAGCTTCCCTTATGCCTTTCCCTGCTCTTAATCAAACCAACTCGGCCCCTGTTCCTTCCTCCAGTGACCATGACCACGTTGCCCACATCGAATTTGATGAAGTCGACAATTTTGTTGGTCTCGAGGTCCAGCTTGATGGTGTCATTGGCCTTAATCAATGGGTCAGGGTAGCGGATGGTGCGGCCATCATAGGTGTTTAGGTAGGGAATGCTCTTCTGTCCAAACTGGACTGAACGCACCTTGCACAATTTGAACTGCAAAAGAGATGGAAAGAGTCAGGGGGGTGTGGTGTTAAGCTAACAATTTTAATTCAAATAATTACAGGAAAATTTTGGAATATTATGTTTTTCCTTGCATATATTACCCACACACACAACCATATTAGAGTAACAATGCAAACATCTTTGGTACAAAACTTGAGAAACATTGGCACCTAGCTACTGCTACACACATATATGCACGCGTGTACAAAACTTGAGAAACATTGGCACCTAGCTACTGCTACACACATATATGCACTCGTGTGCACATACACATGCAAAACAAAGAGAGAGAGATTTTCCAGATGCTCAAAATCATTTTCTTATGCATCCAAAAAACATAAGGTAATTCAGCGACCCCAAAAAATAAACAAGTGCAAAGACTGATGTATGTGTGACCATGAATGAGCATACTGACCTTAGCCTCTTCATCTTTGACTGAGTGGAGTCTGAAGCGGCCTTTGGTGTCATAGAGAAGACGAAAATTCTCATTTGTCTTGGGGATCGATACAACATCTATAATAAATGTTGGTTAGAGTTTGCCAAAGTAATGATAAGTACAGTAAAACCTATGACCAAAGAAAACTGTAGGTCATTGCATCATCACTGTCCTACTGAAACTATGATATGATGATAGTGATGGAGAGACAGCAGGACCCATCAGACAGGTCCTGCCCTATTATCGTGAAGCTTGCTGCCTTGGCATCAGTATCCGTAAGGCTTTCGAGTAACTGTACTAAAGTCTCCCCAGTTGGGTTACAATAGATTTTCCCCAATCAAATCTGATTGATGGTCTTTAGTATCTTTCAGAAATGAAGCACAAACTTTTGAGAATCTAAAGAAAACAACAAAAAGTACAATAACCACAGGTCTTGAGAGATAGGTTCTAACATACCCATAAACCCAGCAGGGTACGTTTTATCAGTCCGGACCTTTCCATCCACCAAAACATGCCTCTGCATCAGTATGGAGATGACTTCACGGTATGTCAAGGCATACTTCAACTTGTTTCTCAGGATAAGAATCAGGGGCAAGCATTCCCTTGATTTGTGGGGCCCAGATGATGGCTTAGGAGCCTATAGAACAAAACCCATTCATTGCATCAATACCAAAAAATACGAGGTAGAAGATGACAGAACAAACAAGAGAGACAAGAGAGATTATCTACTTACAAAGGCACCACCAAGCTTGTCCAACATCCAATGCTTGGGAGCATTGAGCCTCTTCAAATGTTTCTTCAACCCACGAGCCTGAAGCAAACATACAGCATAAGCAATACAACATAAAAAGAATTAAATCCAGAGAAAGTAGATCATACTCCAAAGAATTGCAGAGAACATGCCCATAGGGGTTGTCACTTTCCAATTACATGATGGAACAACAGGGACCCACCAGCATTCAGTTCTAGTGGGTTCTACCCTGTCATGTAATCAGCAAACTGGTACCAATCGACTATTCCATAATCCATTGGAAATTATAGAATATACCATCCCTAGAATCTGATAAATGTTTGATCTTTGCGATACAATAAGAATGTAACAGTATTAACTTAATTATAAATGCAAATAACCATTTAATGAAATAACAAAGCATTCACGACAAGAATCCAATGATAGAGAGCACGTTAATTGACATTGTGCACCAATTCACTGAACTGTGGGAAAAGCTTTTGAGGTTGCAAAGATATTTGGCACAAGCCTCCTTTGCAACTTAAATTGCAACTTCATTCCATTTTTTTTTTAGTTGTCAAATATGTTCTTGTAGGCATACCCACGTCTTAGCCATGTGACCAATAATATACATACTCCCACAAGAGAATATCCCATGACCTACAAAATGTATGTATGTCACCATGCCATGCCAACATGCCGATATATATTATGGTTTAGGTACTCTATAATACCTCTTCCATCCCAAAACCCTATCACCCCATCACCCCACCCCCAAACACAAGTTATTTGCAGATTGGTATTTAACTTCCCTTCTCTGGATAAGTTTAGGAATGCGAGTCTTTAGAACATTAAACTTAATTGGGTAAAGATGAACAATAACCAAGGTGAAATGAATCCAATTTGGTCACAGACTGAATATTTGGAAGTGGAAAGACAAAGTACTAGGAATCGTTTGGAGATTCTCTTTCCAGGAAGAGAAGAAAAGTTTCCATGTTCACAGCCACTGATGGAGGGTATATACAATGATGGTTTGCAAGCAATGCCAGTTAAGCTCCCAATGGCTAAAAGACAATATTCTTCCACATTTAGAGCTCCTAATGGCTAAAAGACAATACTGTTACCATTTGGCTAAAAAGAAACAAGCACCTGGCTTGGTGTTTAGGAGGTTGTCCAACATATATTGGAATGCATCGGGCTACAATCAGTTGTTCATCACATCTTAAGGCAAAGAATCAGGTAGCAGATTAACTGCTAGCTAGTGAAACAACCGAGGATACTACTATATAGGAGCCACTGTCATTGTCTCCCCGCATGAGAGAAAGTTTTCAGGTAAGGAAGGCTGCCTTCGCTTGTTTTCATCTCAGCATTTTAATCCTTACAGGTCACGTTCTCTTCTAATTTTAATTTAAGGCAAGTGGCTCTAAACTCTAATAACCAACTATAAAAAGAGTTCAATGCAACCAGTTCTTTATGTGGCAATAAAGATTCAGCCATTTTAGGCAGATTGCGCAAAAAAAGTATTGTGGCATATGAAGTCATAAATAACAAATCTGTATAAATAACAAATCTGTACAAAAAACAAAAACCAAAGAGAATCCCTAGAATACATTAACAATGTGGCTTTTATCAGCACAATCTGAAAATGTTGGTTCTTAAAATTTGTCATAACACAATCATTCACTGTTTTAAACTCAGCACAGGGCATGGACTCAGCCTGGCCCAAGCCGAGTTACACGGGCAAGTCAGTGGACTCACCCGAATATTGTCCGTGCTAAAAAAACTAAAAAACAATGCCTTGCAAAAGAATTTTTGTGGGTGGGTTAGAGAGCACGAGGTGAGTGGGAAAGAGAGGGGAGAATGGGGCACGCGGCTGAGGGGAGGGAGGGGGGAGAGGGCATGTGGAGAAGATAGGGATTACATGGGGGTAGAGAGAGAGGAAGGAGGGAGAGAGGGGGCAGATGGCAGAGAGAGAGTAGGAGGGAGAGAGAGGAGCACATGGCTGAGAGAAGGAATGCATGGCACACATGGCACATAGAGAGAGAGAGATAGAGAGAGAGAG